AATTGGCTGGACAGGCCGGACAGAGGAACTGGGCGGACGCTGGGATGAGAAGGCTGTTCAGTGTAGAATAAAGGCTACATGTTTTGCTATCTGTGTAAGTTCGATCTTCGGGTGTGAGAGTGAAAACACAGGAATAACTAGAATAGTAAGTAGTGCGGTAAGTGGTGACTCGGCAAAACCATGCATCTCCATCAGCCTTTCGGCGGGGTGAGTGAGCTTTATGGCACTAAGAGAGTCAAAAGCAGATGTGCTGTACTTCTGGTGGAAACTTATTCATGGTCAATTTCTGACGTTATTGCAGTTTTGGAAGAAGAGTGTATTCATACGGAGTCACCAGTGCCGAATGGTGGCAGACTCAACAACAGGAGGTTAACCCAATAGCAAGTCAGGAGAGTGCACACTGTGAGAAAGTCCTTTAAAAGTCCTCCACAGAAAAGTTTATGCTCACAGTCTTCTTAAGCTAGTTTTTGTTTGTGTGTAGGCGCGGGAGCTAGACATATTTTCCTTGTTTTCTACAGCCAGGTTTTACCGTTGTTACTGCCAAACCCAACCTCTGGATCCCAGGTTATTAAAACACAGAACTGGGTACGCCTGCCTGAAAACATCTAGTCATGTTTGTCCCCCTTGTTTTAATTCTGCTAAAACTGTATTTTTGTGCAGCGATTTTAGGTATTCCTAGCTTCTCTTGTCAGCACTGATCTACCCTAAAGCTATGTTTGTGGTGCAACTGCCTACGAGAAATGGGATATATTTTTGGGTTGGACCTGTTTTCACAGTTATACGAATGAACCTCAAGTCACAATTGTCTTTGTCAATTTTCGATGGTGGCTGAGCTATGCGATTCCATATCCCGAATAATAACACTTTAATTTTATTGAATGTGAAAAAATGACAGAGCAAGACAAATGTTGCCACTTGACCTAGAAACAGCGCGCTTGCGTCTCTGACGAAACTTAAAAATCGATAAGGTCGAGGTTCAGATCATCTATATTTTATTCAAGGAACACGCATTCAGATGCGTATGCACCCGGTTTCTCAAACGTGTACTCTAAGATATAGTCTTAATACATCGACATTAACATATAAAGAACCGATGCTGTTCCGTCTCTACACTATGGATTTCCAACTCTCATATTTCCGTCTGGATTTCCCATAAGGAGTAAAGACTATCAGTTAGATCTTCTTCTAGCTTAAACCTATTGGTGGTTTAATTGCCTAAGTGGGAGGGTGTGAGGATCCCTCGGTCTTTTCATAAGTTATTTTATTGATGAAAAAACCAGCACGACGGTAAAGAAAATTTCCAAAAGATGGTCTACGCCCATTTGTGTGAATAAATTTAGGAGGAATTTCTTAAAAGGGGAGGTTTTCCGAAGTCCCATTTGGAGATGTATCAGTCAGGAAGGTGCGTGAACTAGCTGAGAATTCTAATTATCTCCCTACTATTATCGTAGATGTAAAAAGTTGCGAAACATTCATACGTACGAAACATCTTTACAAATAGGTGTCAATAGATTGCCCACTGTCGGTTAATTAACCTGATCCCAGACGAATAAACTACTTGCATTACTTCTGTTGAAAACAAAAGATGCATCAGAAATAGTGGAAGACGATAGGAGACAACACGAAAAATCATCCAATATTACTACTGGCGATATGCGTAGTCCCATGAAAATCAGATAATGCCGCAGCCTAAACATAATACAAAAATTATCCCTGATTGAGGCTTAGGTCTAGCCCTAAACCAAACTGTAATCCCAAATTGAGTAACCGTAAAATGTGATACAGGAGTGCATTTATTACGAGAAGCTTAGTGGCATGTGAGACCTGGAATGAAATGCTACTTATTGTATGCCTCAATTTTGTTGCATTTACTTATGCAGCGGCAGAGCTCCCAGTAGGTGACCATACCAATGATCGCCTTCTGTGGTTCCATAAAGTCAATTCCATTTTTAATCGCCCACTTGTACTAACAAATTATTTTCCGCACATTTATGTTTTTAGTGGCTTCCACTTTTTTTGTGAAATGTCCTCAATACAACTAATGAAAAATTGTCTTGAAAATCCTAAATATTTGAAAGGTGCACATTTTTAAGGAGGAGCCTTAAACATTTTGATTGGTTTCCTAGTTACTAAGTGTCATATAGGAATTTGCGCAAAGTTACTGCAATTCTTCTATGGATACTGCATGGTTGCAGAATTTGCATACACACCCTTCACCTTCGCTGTAGCTCACTAAATGTCTGGCGCTATCTTTGTTTCCTCAAATGGGTGTCTTTTAATCTTTTTTAGCTTTATACTAGCTTGACATTTTGAAAGATCCTATAAATGCTGCTTGTCTTTTATCAACGTTTGAACATGAAAATTGGCTATAACTTTCAAACATGTAATCTGCGCATCAGGTTTCTTAATATCACTACGAATACTAGCATGTAATTGGTATGAAAAAATGTAATCTTATCATGACTTTGAAATCGCTTAGAAAAGTTTTTAATCCACTCCAAAATAGGTGTTAGCTTCGCGTTATTTGGTCTTCCCTAATTTGAACGTGCACAAACACACAACTGTCTGGTCTTTCAGTCAAAGGCATAGTAAATTACAGTATTGTCAATGTCTCCGTCAACCGGCAGGTCGGCATATGCGCACCATTTTTTTGCATTTCTTTCAGAATTTTCGCATTACCTATACTATCACACATTAATAATAGGGAAGTAACTTAAACAGTTCTTAATTCGACGTTCAATTTTTACATACTTATTTATAAAAAAATTCCGTTTTTTAATATAAATATATTCTTTATTATACAGACAGATAAACCAGTTTATCGGAAATATTTAATATATTGGCAATTATATCTTTAGTAGTTACGTGCGTTAATTATTTATCTCGTGATAAATAATTGGAGTGCAGTTGCTGGTCGTTAGGTGAATGGAAATGTCCCAGTCAGTCTGGACTTTTACGGGATGCCTAGTAGGAAATTTTTATCTGCATTTTATTTTGCATCGAAACGTGCTAGTACAAAGTATATAGCCTAACAATAATCGGATTATTATATAAAATGCCCCGAAATGTATCTCATCTGACGAAATTATAGATGAAACGGCATATGATACATTTATAACACGTCATGCTATGCCTTTGATCAGCATTTTCCACTTCGAATTTTGAGGACCTGAAAATCGCCACAGAGTCAGACTGTTCTCTATACCGTTATAAAGCATATTTAAGGAAATATAGCCGTTAATGTAATAATGCGTGGCAATAAAGAACGAAGGCGAAACAGTTTTTTGTTTTTTTGGGGAAAACTAGATCGCTAAATGACTCCCTTGACCTGTAATGTCATGCAAACTGCTACGAAGCATTATGACAGCAGCCCACGCGTATTAGGTCATATGGATGACGCAACACATCGGCTGAGTGTGGAGCCACTTTGACATCATTGAGAAGCTGTGTAACAAGTGTGACTATTTTGGGCCCCTGGAAGATGACTGAGATCTATAAAAGGGCTGCGGCATTCATCGTGCCTCAGTCACCAACTAGCCAGGCAACTTCTGACTGCAAGAACCACCGCCTAAACGTACTTCCCGCCTCGAGGTGAGTTCTAATCACTACCTGAAGTACTGTTTCTTTGAAGCTTTTCTTTTGCTGACATTGTTTAAGCCAAGTGGAATAGCTGATAATACACATGTGTCCCTATAAGTTCCTGTATTCAGTTTACGTTGCCCGACTAAGACGAAGTGTATTAATGCAAAAGGCCTTCTACATCCCTAAACATATTCCTCTAAGTTGTGCGAAATTGTCTGATGTTTAATTGTGCCCTTATTATTTATTTTAGCATGATAACACCAACGTTCCTATTCACGCTCCTGCTGCTTGGTAAGCTCTGATTAGAGGTGCTTGCAATGATATGTGATCTGCGCTCTGACTATTTTTCATGCTAAGGGAATATTTTATTCTACCATGCAGGATACTGCCAGGCTATTACGATCAAAGCCCAGCCCAAGCAGCCGCCAAAAAAACCGTTTGTAATTTCAATTGATCCAGGATTTGAAGTCACGGTAGGCAACTCCGTTTGACTTTAACAACTTACTCTACAGGGGGCCAAACTCGGTGAAACTGAGCTAAATGAATGTGCAGATCCAGTTCAAAAGCCGAATTCAGTTACACCATGCTATAAGCAAACCAGTAAGTTCAGAACCACTGGTATTTACGAACCTACTATTTCGAAGTATTGACCTTAATTAAACACTGTCGCCTCTTTTGAATGCTCTGTAATGTCAGTCAATGACCCAAATGTTATGTCTGCATTTTAGTTGAGTCCACAGTTAAATTCATTATCGCTGAGGAAAGCTTGTGGCAAAAGGCGGAGTTTATGGTCGGCACAGTAGCTAAGGCGACCGCCACAATGGAACAATTAGCGCAAGGCCAAGTGGATGCAGTGGTTCCACCCCCAGCAGGTGCAAAAACAGTCCAAAAAGGGAAACTCGAAAAGAATGACCTCTCTTTGAAATTCGTGCCAACTGTAAGCCGACTATTTTCTGCTTAACATAGCATTTGAAATTCAGCAACGGTTTGCAAAGCTTCTAAATTTATAGTACTTTTCTCAAAGCGAATTGTCGTTATCGTATTATTCCTGGCGCATGCGCGTTAATATTTAATTCCCTCTAGGGAATGCGACTTACCCCGAAGGAGAACACTCAGGGCCAACAGCAACAACAGCCACCACAGACCGGGGTAGAACATACAGAAGAGGGGTCTGGGAAAGGAGCACAAGCACAAGCAGGAGCAACTGATCCTGTACCTGTCACGAAAAAATGTTCGGAGCAACTATCTGTTTCCGACAATTGCTTTGAAGTTGTGACGGGTAAAAATTGACTTTGGTGTTTATGCCTCTTGCCTTGACTGCCTTCAAATTTCCTGCTTGCAACGCACTACAAAACCTATTGTCTTACCGCTCCTTTTACCTTATAGCCGAGTATCCTGTCTTCGTGTTGGCTGAGAT